TGTATCAAAGAAACACAAAAAGTCATATAGACAAAGCTCATTAGCAAATACAAAAATTATAGAACAATAACACAATGACGGGATGCATAAGTACAGAGTCACGTCAAATGGATATCACCAAAAACAGACTAAACAGTAAAAATAATATTAAAAAAGACAAATAAAAGAATACTATAACACGTTATTAAGATGACAAACAACGTCAGTACGCAGAATCTATACTTCAAGACCATCGTGTATTATTTGTGAAGTTGATACGGAATATTTATCAACAAGGTCTTGGTACCTTCCGATGAACTTTTTTAGAAAAAGGACGAGACGTTCTTTGACATACCCCTGGTTCATCAACTTTCTGCTCAGACACTGGTGACGTTTTACAAAGTCTGAGTAGGAGCTGCAAGCTCTTGAATACCGAATAAGTTGGGAAATGTATATCCAATATGCAGGTGAAGTTGGTATATTGCTACTAAGGTGGGGGGAAATTGATAATTTCAAAATTAAAATCGTCTCGTTTGTCATAGATTCTGGTACTGAGATGACTGTGTATGTCAAATTCGAGGTATAAGTCTAAATATGAGACGGAGGAAGCCGTGTCTGTTGTTTCTTTAATTTCTAGTTCTGTTCAGGGAAGTTGCCAAAGTACAGAATCTACATTGCCTGAATTCATCTCTTAGGCCCGAGAACACAGTTATTTCGTAGTGCATTTCTTTTAGGCAATAAATTCAAATTTAAAAAATCGCACCAGCTCTATCTCAAAAAGATTTTTACAGTGTAGTGTACTACTTTTGGGACAAATAATATCAAAATTATAGAAAAGTCTACCAGCTCTAACTCAAAATATTGACAATTCTATTTTAAGGGGGTCTAAAATTCAGTTTGACAGCTTCAGACATACTAGCTTTTGACATTTTTTAACTGGACCAAATCACTACCTTACATAAAGAATCAGCACCCAACTTTTTTTAAACCTGTAATTTCATCCCCTTACTTAATATTTCATGCATAAAATATAAAGAAATAAATTTGGAAAGTGTATGGAAAAAATTTGCATGTTATACAATGTCCACACTAGGGACTATATTTGTAGACAACGAAAATCTAAGGACGATAACTGTGTCCTCGGTCCAGTAAGGGGTACATCCTACATGTTTCTGTTCTTGTACCACTGCGCCAGATCAAATATTTTTGCATGGATACTTTCCGTTGGTTTTTGATTAACGAGAAGGCTTACGGTCAGATTGTTACACTACGCTGAAAGAGTTTATGATGGCGGCCATGTTGTTGTCACCGACGCTTCCAACTTCCGGTTGTTGCGTCAATGGTATCGCTACGCGTACTTCTTTCTTCAACTGGAGTATTGCGTAATACTTCTGTCGGGACATCAACAGTTCCTCTGTCCGAATTACTCTCTGCGGTCTGCATAGGTGTAACGAGTGTTTCTTCGTTTCTGGAATTATCCTCGGGATGAGCAATACTTTCGCGACTGTTTTGGCGATCTTTTTTTATTAAATAAGATTGTTTCAAAACGGAGACAGACGAAGACAGACGATTTTAGTCTAATTGAAACGTCATAAACATACGATATTGTCAATATTTTAACTTTCAAAACGATAATTTGTTACTTTCTACGATGAAACTAATGTATGACTTTCCATGTCAGCAGCAAAACTCAAACTGAAAACTACCTAGCATCCTGGGGAAACTTGAGAAGGGTCTGTATCACTGCATGCCTCATGACCAAATAAGGAGTGCTCATGTAGCCTGGGGCATGTCAGTACCAATCATGTGCTACACACATGTATCCTATAATGTGTCTTGAATAAACAACGCCTATATACATAAAATAAGCTCTTTTATTTTGGCATTGCACAAGACCATGCTTTTCTCATACTCTTTATGAAGTTTATAGACTAATATCCCAATTGTATACTGATATTTCAGTCCGTTAAAATAAGATTTGTTTGTTAGTTATGATGAGCTTTGAACTAGCCTTATCAACATCGAGTACTCATAGACTAGTGCTTCGTGTTTTTGTGTTTTTGTCAGTTGTTTCTGCTTTTTGTGGTTCTAATGAGACATGTTCATTCCAGCTAATTTTTAAGTAAATTGTTGGTTCTTACATTCTACCCTTCTACTATCTGCTCTAAACATGAAGAAGCAGCTTATCCCAATTTTAAGTCTTCGGTTTGATCAAGCAGGGATGGAATGCAGGATTTCCTACACTTGAGGTGAGCAAGTTACCAAGAGATGAATGATAGAGGCTGTTATATGAGCGAAAAGTAATGAAATCATCTTTTTTTAACTACGTGCATACGACACTGTTATTTTGAACCAAAATTTATACAGCTATAATTGTTTGTCAATATTTTATATACTTTAATCTAGTTTTTACAGGTAATATTACCTCAACATCATGTGCCGACTCATTTTTTCTTTGAGATCTTTGGCATTTTCCTCTCACTAAACCACCTTTATCTACTTTGTGAACTGAAAAGGAGTGTTTTATTAAGACTCAAATGTACCTGAAGTTGAAACTTATTTCATAAAAGACTAAATATAGAGTGTTGTCATGATGTCCCTTCAAGGGCCCTTGATTGGAAAATAAAGAACTATGAACTACTTAAAATATATACAGAATCTATATGCCTAAAAAGTGTAATTTATATAACCTTACATGTACATTTCTTACAACATGAAGCTGCTGAATTGTATGAAACAGTTTTCAAATTAAGTTCAGTTTAGAGCTTTAAATAAATTTTAATTGAGGTTCAGTGAGTCACATTTTAAAACGTCTATGTAAGTAAGAGAGTATACAATATGATGATAATATCATCAGGAAATAACCATCATGTAAGACTGCATGCTTTCGAGACTTTTCAATACAACAAACTTCGGTCATGTTGGTTAAAAAATGAATGCCAATGTGTGTTTAAAACATGTGAATTTTTTTTTTGAGACGAAGCGACTTTGTGTGAACTGGTGCTGGGGTCGAAACGCTACAACTTTTTCATGATCTGTTGACAGACCTTGACAGGTCACGTACACAGTTGTCAAACACTTACTAGTAATGTTTGTTACATATTTCTCAGAGAAATATTTGTAGCCTTTTGACATTTCTTTATGACCAAGACTCTTAGAACTGCTTTTAACGGTAGATTCTACAAAACCAAACGTCAAATCCGGCAATATGGTTAAATCCCTACTGATGTCGTCACCTTTCGCTTCCTTATCGGCCATGTTGTTTACAATCGATACGACCTTAGCCTCGTTTTCGATTTTACATGCATATTCATTAGATCTCATTAAGAATGGAGTATATGTATTGATGTTTCACTACTGACTAAGGGGAAGGTAAAGCTCTCAGAAATACACTTAAGCCTCCAACATTCCTAATGTGCCTGCCGAAGTCATAAGCATGTACTCCAGAATTTGTCATCGATTGTTGAGTTCAGTTTGTTTTAGGTTTATTGTTTAAGCATACACCAGGTTTTGATTTTTTTCGTTTCAATTGGTTCACATTTTGTCCGGCTTGATATTGCTTTGACGTCCGACGGCTTTTTAAAGACTTGCTGGGCCATGGGATATTAGAGCACAATCACAAGGACCCAAGCAGTCCAAAATTTTTCGCCAGACGTCAGCGACAATCGCAGATTATATTTTTCACACTGATGCCTTTGATTTTTTTTCTCCGAATTGTCTCCATAGACGGTCTCATTTATCTTCAATATATTACTTTAAAACGATTTAATAAGGCACAAGCTATATGCATTATCTGTAGGAAGGTCCGAGTTGTTTTCAGGCCGATTTGATTTTCGGTTGGTTCCCTCCGTAAAATATTCAGTTTGCCTTCGGAATATACAAATAATAACGGTCAGTATGAGCTCATGGTCGGTCGGAATGAGCTAAATAAATGGTCGGCCAGTATGAGCTAATGGTGACCCTGAACGTTTCGGTTCCCGGTTTATCAAAGATCGAAGTACGGTTTCAGTTAAAAATGGCGTTAACCTCAGGTCTTGATGGGAACATTCATTATTTTACAATGTTGATTTAAAAAATGTGGATAAATATGCTTAAACGCTGAGTAGATAACGACCGGGTACCAGTCTTATTTGTCTTGAGCTCAGGCCTGACTGGATTTTAAAAAAAATTTGGGTTGAGTACCAGAAAAGCGTGACTAGTAGCTTTAAATCAATTTATCTTTTATGGTAACTGTCAAAAGATTTTAACGTAATAGTATCAAGGATGTATTATAGCTATGTGCAAGACTGATATTTACTTGTACTTGACAAGCAACGAATACATAACTCATTGTGCTCGAGTTAAAATGTTCATTCGTGTACATTTCTTTTTATGGCTATTTATGTAGTCAAGCAGAAGGCGCGGGGTTAGTGGAAAGGAAAACCAGTCTCGTTTTTGGAAAGGATATATACCAACGGAATGAAAGCTTGGAACAATACAACACAGAATTATTTGTATGAATATCATGCGATGCGCCGTGTAAATATTGCGGAATATATTCTGGTTTGTAAAATTCATATTCCAGTTGTGTATTTTGTAAATCGAGTTGCATCTATTACATTGCGCTGTGACTGATATACATATAGCCGTGTAGATTTTAAATCTAACGTGCGTATTCCAAACCTATGAATGTGAAGTTTCAAAATCTAGATTTTAGCTTGGTATTATTTGTAATTTATGGAATATTTTTGCCTAGCGTTTCAATCATAATTTGGCGAGAACGGTGTGCCATATGCTAATTAACTAATCTTGATAATTTGTCAACTTCCTCGTCCACATCACCCTTTTCCACATAGTCCTCTTATATACCTGAGACTTAATATGACCGAATATACACGTCAATCGTATTTAACTTTAATCTTCGTTCCATTTAAATCAATTTATGTTTCCTCATTTGTTTTACTTCTGGCTAATTTGTTTATAATTAAGTATGAAATAAAAACATAACAAAAGAAGCAGTTATTCTTTTATATTATAAAATTTTACTTGTACATAGATTCACAGAATAATTTTTCGGGGTTGAAAATTTCCTTTTTATTTTCAAAATCGCACATGTCATTGTATACGACTCTTTCGTTCTTGCAGACGGCAAAATATGGTGACCCTTCTCTGCCAGTCCACGGATTTAATCCATTTGGCAATCCTTTACAACTCGGATATCTCACATAACAAGGTACACATCCTTGTGCAGATCTACATTGATTTTCATCATAGTCGCCTGCAAAAAATAGTTCAAAATATAGAATGACTTTGCTAAATAGTAAACAATTTTAGATTCTTTAATTAAACATTTCTTAATTGAAACACACTGTTTTTTGTACAGTCATGATACTGTTTGATTTCGAATAGAATGGCTTATGTGCTTTAGCATGCATGATATGTCATCTCAATATATTTTTTAAAATTTTGCTATCTTCGTTTTTATACAGAGTTGCAACATTTCAGTTTGTGATTTAGAAAGCCACTGGGACTTAATTAAACTGTGTAACATTTTTGTTGCAGTAGTACTTGTAAATTAATCGTACATTTAAATATAAATTTTTTCAAGTAATTGCATTTTTTTTTTTAAAAAGGACACTGCCGAGATTGCCTCTAATCTTTTGAAAGAACTAGTAGACATCGTATTTATCAGCTTATACAATAATTAGACGATTGATTTGACATTGCAAAAGACTCATTTTCTGGGTGTCGTCTTACCAAAAGAACAAACTAATAAAAAAAAACACACTTACATGGATCTTTGTAAAGTATTCTTGACCCACAATTAGCTTTCTCAGGTTGAACACATCGGTTGATGTTTTCATCAAACAATAAAGGATACGGGCATTCTTCCACACTATGCGTTGTACAATCGATATATTTAGAACAACTTTCTTCATAAGTTAAAAATACAGAGTTAGATTGTTTACAGATGGCGACTGGTGAAGCATTGATTGGCAGATCTGACTCTTTGGAACCTTCAAAAAATTACAAAGAGAATATACACAGCCAGTACATTTTTACTACAATTCAAAAGAACCAAAAAAAAAAATACCAAGCGTATTATATATAATCAAAAGATCTCGGTTGTTACACTGCATGCAAATATTTGGGTTTTTGTATTAGTATTGTGTTGTTGTACATTTCCTTTTCTTCATATCGTCAATATCAAATTTATGTTTGTTTCATTACATTTGTTGCAATAAAATACGGTCGGTGATTTCAATCGTGAAAGAAATACTAATGCTGTTTCTCAAATTTTTACTTTAAATAGAGTAATTACTCTAAATTCAAATATCGAAAATATTCAACTCCCGCAACTTCTGTCCTGGCATGAAAATACAAATATTGATCTAATTAAATTTGCTGTTATAAAATTTTTGAAATCATATTAGATTAAGGGATATTTATCCCCTATGCAAAGCTCTGATTCCTTGTCCGACTTTGGTTATACTTAAGATCCTTTTTGGTTTGACCAGCTCTTCAACGTTTGTATTAGGTTTTGTTTTTTATTTTAAAATATTTTGGCCTCGAGCATCATTGAAGAGACATTAATTGCGCATCTGGTGCAATAAGATTAGTATTGCTTATGTTATTTTAACTGTGTTAATGAAAATTGGGATTACAATAAGACAATTGTCAGGCGTAGAATTATGGACGATCAATGATAATGCCATATGAAGGAATGTAGAATATCGACAGAAGGATCATATTTCTTGTATTAAATCAAGGAGTTTGTGGGAAAAAATCAAAAAGTCTACATTTCAAGAACAATTTTTACTATAGTCAACAAAAGAAACGGTAAAGGCTATGCATTTTCCCTATATAGAATTGCCTAATCGATCTAATGTTTACAGAGTAAAATCAGTTGTTAAAGCCAAAAAAAAAGTCAAAAACCAATATTTGAACTTCAAATTAAAAACATTGTCTGATTAAAAGTTAGAATTCCTCCGCAGGTATTTGAATAATAAAATTAACTTTTTCAAAATTAGTTGTCGATATTTGTCTTCATTCTACCAACAATTTTGACCCCTTTGTTCAATAACATGGTATTTTTCACTTTCCAGCTTGTTCAGATTTTCTTAATCGTATTTGCATTTGTTTTGTAAGTGAAATTCAATGGTTTTCGTTGGATAATTAAACAGTAAAACAATATCAATAAACAATAAAATTGAAATAAAAACCGATATAACCAAATACAAATAAAGCATTTACAAATTCGCCGAAATATTAATAATTTGAATTTTTTTGTGTTTGAATAATAGCTCAATACGAAAGCTGCAATTTCCTAAGAAAACATAGAAGAAAAGATGAAAGGCATTTTCAGTTTTAAACTTCGAGGATAAGCAAATTTGATTTTCGGTTAAATATTTGCTTGATGGTGCGATACTAATATTAAATATCGACGAAAACATAAAGTGAATTATAAGGATAAATCACATGGGCAGTTATGTATTTCTTAGGTATGGTAACTATATTATAAATCAAAAAAATCTTGACAAGCGTATGGTGATCCAGTTACTTACATTTGTCATGCTCAGAGCCTTTCTCTACACATGTCTTTCTTTCTTCGTGATAAACTTGATCTTTCTCACACTTATATTTATGCTGTAAAGTCCCAAAACACAAATAAAACACACCACAGTCTGATGGATCCTTTTTCCAGTGTACTTTCTTTGACCCATCACAAATATTAGTTGAGCATACGGGAATAATGATGACAGTGAATGCAATGATAGTAAGAGTATTCATCTTTGTTGGTGTTGAAAGTACTTCGACTTTGGATGAAGTTGTTATGAGGATGAACGTAATCTTGAGCTCTGTTTTAAACAAGTTGGTCCACCTACTTTGATTAAACAATAAAACACTAATCCTTACAACAACCACGCCAGATACACAAACATGCACATTTACAGAGAATTTAATGGACTCTCTCCCAGTAACATTACTATTTTGCTCGTCTTTTACTTTCATGTATTTATTTCCGTGCTTCTAATTTCTGACATCACAACCGTTAAGGGTTAGCCAGGTAATTTATTGAATTAATTGCTTCTGTAAATATTTACTCACGACTGGGATAGTCTTACAATTTTGGCGGAAGTGATATTTACATATAGGTTCTGACATTCAAGTAATTTTAAAAAAGAAGGAAATAATGAAAGATAATCTAACAAACATGCAAAAAATTTTAATTTCCCTAATTAATAATACTTTATTTGTTGGCATAATGTTTTATATCAAGATTAAGACTGTTTTAATGTATAACGTGTATAATAAATGTTTTCAGATATATTTTCAATTACAAAAAAGTATTTTCTTCATTACATGTAATAACTGAGACATTATTATATGTCTCTGCTGCAACTGAAACAAACTGCAACGTAAAATTTATTATCAGTATTCATTAAATCGACACGATTGAACGACCATTAATATGATTTTTACAAGGTGGAATGTGCTTCAAACTATAAATCTTTAAACACCACGACTTTGTGTATTACAGTAAATTGTTTGTTATGCTGAAAATCAAACGTTTAACACATACACTGATGATAACTCAATCAATCTTCGTTCCTTTTTCTTAATATTTTATAAATAGGTTTATTATTGCAGATAGCTCATTATTGTTATGTAAATTCATAGGTACTGTCCACTAACATTTTTAGTGCTACCAAATTAATACAACAAAACTTGTGTAGATTTTAATTCAAAAAGTCCCCCGATATCTTTTACAGCTATCGCCCAAATCATTTGTTAAATACCTTTTACGTCTATAAGTAATACTTGACTGAATATTTTTGTTAATGAAGTGAATGTTGTGTCTGAAAACCAGAATTGGCTCTGTAAAGGGTAATTTACAAAAGATAATATTTTTTTCTATTACACACACTTGTAGAGCTATTTAAACATTTCTCTTTTGGTAAAAAGCTCTTTTGTACAATTTAACTATATGGTTTTGGAGTTTTGGGGTTTTGAAAAGTCTTAAGAAGCATTAACTGTCAAATTCATTACCACCGAATTGACTCAAATTCTTTTTCAATATAACATACTAAAATATTTACCAAAATTAATAAAGTTCCATAGGAAACAATAAACAATGCATGGAATCGTAGAGTATCAGCATTTCGTGCGTATTTTAGGACTAGAATTCATCTAATAAACTATTGAGATGATATTAAAAAACTGCCTATGGTCATATATGACCCGATAAAAACATAAATATAAATAAACAGACAAGCACGTGCAGTATTACGATACAATTTGTCTAGGTCGGTTTGATTTCATGTCATAGACATAAAAATAATGCATAATTCATCATTTTACCTATACAATAAAGATTTTATGTGAGTCGAATGAATAGAAATTTTAAATCCTTGTGTCTCCCTTGTTTAACTTTGCGATTTTAACATTCTTTACTATTTTTAAATAACTCAATATGTTACGCCCATGCGCAACCAATCTACAACTCCGGGTCAAATTAAAGGTTTGCATGCATACGGAAAACGATGGGGTCGAATTATTGTCTAGTAAGACAATAAAATATCGCGATGATTTTTAGTTTGTTTTTACAAAATTGAACCAAACTTTCTTTTTAATATTTCGTTTTTATAAATGTTCATATTATGCTTTCACTTTTTGTCTAAATCGTAGCTAATACCCCTTTAAAATCATCAAACAAATCCATCCAAAATTCTGTAAAAAGGACTAAAAGTAAGAAGCAATATACCAAATATAATGTTCAAATGTAAGCTTGGGGATTTTCCACTCGGAAATACAGTATCACTCCGGATTAGACTTGTCCAAAATGAAACAATTCTCTGTACTATTTTATATCAAGTGATATTACTCTTGTAATGTTAAAAAAAAAAACACTCATTCAAATGAGTTGAATTTGTTGAATCTATTTTTAACGGAGTTGGAAGGTGATAAATATTCAAACAAGAAATGAGCTGTCATATCAGTGACAGAAAACCGGATTTTCTGTGTTTTGAAAGCGGTTTCAGGCTTGTTCGACTTGCCTATTTTCCTATCTGTCTAGTCAGGACCAAAAATCCTGAACGGCAGAACTTAAAATCGTCAATATCGTGCTTGACCTCCATTTTGTCATCAGTTCCAACACATCAAAAGAGAGGCGGGAAGATACCAAAGGGACATTCAAATCAATAATTCGAAAATAAACTGATAACGCCATGGCTTTAAAAGAAAAAGACAAACATACAAACAACAGTACACAAAACACAAAATAGAAAACTGAAGACTGAGCAACACGAACCCCACCAAAAACTTGGTTGATCTCGGGTGCTCTGGAAGGGTAAGCAGATCCTGCTCCACATGTGGTACCCATTGTGTTGCTCATGTTAGTACAAACCCGACGATAAGTCTTATTCGGTAGGTCACATTCGGGGAAACGGGGACGGGATTGTAGTTACGACAATCCGTTGTCATCTGTAAAACAGCCCTATATGAAGGAAAAAATGATAGGAAATAAAATTTAAAGTTCAACGGTTCATAAAGAACTGCACAGACAAGATATAAAGTGCCTTTTTCTAATTGATCAAGGACCATAACTCATGAACAGTAAAAGTGCAAATCGTCAATATCAAACATGACTTTCATTTTTTTTTACCAGAAACCACACATTAAAATTTGAAAAGCCTTGGGTTAAAGGTTAATAAGTTATCGCATGGAACCGAAAATAAAGTGCAAATTTCCACTCCGTCTAGAGCCATATAACCCTTAAACGGTAAAAGTGAAAATTATCAATACTAGTATTCAACTTATCTCCATTTTGTCATTGTAACAACATATTAAAATTTGAAAAAAAAAACATTGGTGGAATGGTTCATAAATTATTGTACGGAGACCACATAACGTGCCATTTTCAAATTTATCAAGGACCATAACTCCAAACGGTAAAAGTTAAAATCGTCGTCAATATCAAGCATGACCTCCGTTTTGTCTTCAGAAGCAACATATCAAAATTTAAAAAGCATTGGTGGAACATTTCATAAGTTATAGCACGGAAACGACATAAATTGCTGTTTTCCAGTATACCAAGGACCATACCTCCTAAACGGTAAAAGTGAAAATCGTCAATATCGAACTTGACCTCCATTTTGTCATATTTAAAAGATTTTAAAAGCATTGCCTGAACGGTTCATGAGTTGTTGCACTGAAACTGTTGGCAGCCGTACGCCCGCCCACCCACTGTACTTCACCATTTCAATAACCGGACTTTTCCTTCGGAAAACCCTGTTAAAACAATCATGATACTTTAATAGATTGGTATAGTGAACAGACATGGGGTCAATTACTTTTGAAAGTAATTAATTACATTCAATTATAATTACAAAATCTTCAATTAAATTACACATTACATTTAACTTTTTTTACCAATGTAATTAATCCACAAAAAAAATGTACTTGGCAAATGTAATTAATGTAATTACTTCAATCACTTCTGAAAGGACAATTTAGGTAAAATATTGAAAACATGCATTTATTCTATGATATGTACATAAGTATCATACATTGCTTTATAGTAATAACAAATGAGATCTACAGCGACTATTTTCAAATTCAGCCAGTATCAAACTGGAGTAAAAGTTAGGTATCTGGTGTGTTACGGGAATAAAGAAAAAACATACATAAATCTGAAGTGCACATAATACTTTGTCTATCAGGAATCCTTAGGACTAGAGGTCTGGTTTAATCTAATGCTCAAAATGATAAAAAGCCTTATTCAATATTTTGAAAATATTCAATTTTGTTTTAATTACCTATTGTATTTTAATGTATTTCATTGAAAATGATACATAAAGAGAGCCCTAATTTTACTATTTTAAAATGATCTTTTTTATTTTGATCACAACTTATTAAGATTATTTTTCCTGAATAAATGATTTAGAAAGCCTGACTTTTTTAAGTAAAGGTTAGACAACAAAACTTGGTCATGTTTTATGAAGATTTAAAGCCCAATGCGTAGCCGAGGGTTTTAAATGTTCATAAAACATGACCAAGTATTGTCTGACCAATTTAGAACATATTCACACTTTCGAGTGACCTTACAAAATTATCCTTTTCCATTGTAATATTCAAACCTTGATAAGAAATCACTTTTTTTAATGAAGTGTTAACTAGGTTATCAAAAGGAATGTATAACATAGGTAATGATCATTTCAATGGATGGAATAAAATAGCACTAATGGTTTCTTTTAAACACATATTATGGCATGTTTCTTTTTTCTCTTCTTTTTTTATTTTTTGTTCATTCAATACAAACTGAAGAATCTCCCTTGGTTGTGTAATTACATAAAGTATGCTGTGTAGGCTTTGCTTTGTCAGCTAACTATGTTTACTAAGGTCATGGGTTTTCATCATTTTTTGAGAAAACACAAGATTCAATCTTTCGAATTCAAAATTTCAAATGTGATTTAGTTGTGATGGAAGAGTAATTGTCAATTACAGACAATTTTAGGCTTTGTAATTCATTACTTTCAATTACTTGTAATTGAAAAAATATTCATTTACACATTACATTCAATAACTTGAGAAATTGTAATTAATTATGGTCAATTACAATGACATATTTCAATTACCCCATGTCTGATAATGAAGCAAATTCTATGTGACCAGTGTATACAAAAATATTTGTATGCGTAAAAATAAGTTGTTTTTTTCCACTTTACAATTCTAAGTCATCTAAATATAGGAAACAGTAGTATACCGCTGTTCAATAGTCATAATTCGATTAAGCAAAACAAATCCGGGTAACAAACACCGAAGGAAACACATCAACTATAAGACTAAAAGTGAAATATTATTTGAAAATACAGTTATTCTTTATTCATTTAGAAAATGAAAATTTCATTTTTATCTTAGATTCGGAATTGACAATCGTTTTGTAGAGTATGTATTTTGTAGAGTATATTAAATCTATGATATAAACTAA